CAGTGTACAATTTAAAATTCTATTATAAAATAAAGTATCCCTCGATGTAACGCATGAACTTAATGTAGTGCCTCGATGTAACGTATTAAGCCAATAGAATTCAATTTCCTTCGTGAGATTAGGCCAATAAAAATAAATCTTTCATCAAAAAAAAGAAGAAAAAAAAAGATTAACCAATAAGAATAAAGCATCTGTAAGAATAATCCAATAAGAAAAAGTCTTAAATTAGACTTAATTTCGGCACTGAACCAATAAGAATGCATCCTCCTTAAGATTACACCAATAAGAATACACCTTTGTAGGATTGGGCCAATAGGAATAAATCTTAGAAAATTATATGTAGAAGGATAAGGCCTTTTCATAACGATAGATTATTAAGGCCCTTGCGTAAGGATAAATCGCTAAGGAATGAGGATAAGCTATTAAAGAAGGATAAGGCCTTTTACGAAGAGAATTCATTAAAGGAAGAAGGCCTTTGTAACATTAGGCCAAATAATAACAACACTTCTACACGAACAGCGTGCATAAAATCCTCCACAGATAGGGCCTACAACTTAAACCGAATGCCTGAAGTTTACGATTAAAGTATCCAAAAGTAGGCATAAATTAGGCATTATAAGCAGTAAGTTTGTATCCGTATAACGTTCCATTCGTTTAAAATCATATAAACTAATGCCTCCCGGTTATAGGTATCGTGTTGCCTGCGAGGCATATTTTTTTTAAGGCATAGAAGACGAAGTATTGTGAGCCTGGTGTGTCATAGATAGCGTTAAATTTGCGAAAAAGTCGAGTGCAGCTGTTGCAGAGAAGAGAAGAGGAGCCAAATAATTAATTTGGACAGGGATCAGACTTTCAAAAATTCGAGAGGAACCAAAAAAAAACATATGTAAGGCCCCCCTCTCATTAGACAGTTTCAAGTTCACGTGAAGAGGAGGAGTTTATTGTTAACCAATTACGAGTAGGGATGCTGTTTTATGAATCTAACGTCACGAAAATGATGAAGTAGGGGGGATGACGTAGCCGCGCGCGCCACTTCGTTCTAAGTTTGTTTTTAGTGGGATGCAGAGAAGTCCTTCTTCTTCAATTTCTTCTTCGAATCATCTGATTTTAATGCCTTATTTTGGCTGATTTTCATATTAAATTGCCGGTTTTGACCTCCCCAAAATTTCTGATTTTTAGGCAAATTACTGGCCTGGTGTATGTTAAGTTTGATACTGGAAAATATTAATATTTTACTGTAAAAAAAATGTAATTTTGTTGCCGAAAATCTCATTTTAATGTTAAAAATGCAATGTTTTTATCTCGAAAAAAAATCAAGTTTTGACCCCAGAAAAATCACATTTTCATCAAGGTAAACGTAATTTCGACCCTATAAAAATGTTATGTTCCTCCCATAAAATGTAATTTTGGGCTTAAAAAAATCTAATTTTAAGCCTATAAAACCTAATTTTTAACCCTGTAATATACTCTAAAGTAATGTAAGGCCTACAGGCCTACCGCCATATAGGCCTATGTATTTTCAAATTAACGTAGAGATAAACTATTCATTTCGCTCAGAAATTTAATAAAAACCTAATTTTAGGAAAGGCCTATGAGTTTATTTTTCTACTTATGCCTTTAAAGTTTTGTCTATCCTTAAAAAAAAAAACAGTCATATGTAAGGCCCTATTTACTAAAAGAAACTGCTTAATAAACAGGCCTATACTGATACAGTTATAGTTTATTTATATGTCTGTGTTGACAGGCTACAATTAGCCTAAGCTTGTTAGTTTAGGTTTTATTAAATGAAGAGGAATAATTCAGGCTCAGTGCATGTAGTTATAGCAAACTTTAGATTAAAAGGCCTTCTAGATAAGCTTTACAATGAAGGCCTCTTAGATGAGAATTGCAACGAAAGCCTTCTGTAACAAAGCTTTATTTAAGAGGCTTTATTGTAGCCTGTTTTTCAAGAGTTTATAGCATGTAATTCCTCTCACTTGGTCCTTAATACTGGTGCTACAAAGAGGGTTTACGTTAGCTTAAAAGGCTTCAGTAGCAGGTTTAAGTAGCCTGATACATAAGGCTACGTACTAAGGCTATGTTTAAGAGATTAATTGCAAGTTTTTCGGTCATCCAACGTAATTAGTCCAAGAAAGTACAATTTAAAACGGAATTTTTAAACACAAACAGCTTCAGGGACGTTTGAGAAACACAAAATAGTTTCTATAAGTGCTTCAAGAAGACTGGAAATGTTTCATTAAGTGCTCATAATCGCCTCATTAAGTAAATGGGGTTTTGTACCAGGTAAAATCTTGCTAAGGGCTGACGTACAAGTGAACTTGGTGACAGTTTGACAATAAAACAATTTATGTAGTGGACACCCACGAAGCATAATCTTATCTGGGCCTGAAGCCCTTTTAAAATCCGGTAGTCGGAATTTTACAGCCAGTAAAATATCCAACACGCTAGGAGGGCCAACGGGGCCTTTAATTGCCGGTCATAGGCGGAGGGCATCTTTCTCTCTCTCTCTCTCTCTCTTTCTCTCACTCTCCCTCTTGGCTCCGAGCAGCCTAATTAAAACGAGTAAACCCCGGGATGAATTATAGGGCTTGACTTTATTTTTGGGAGTAAATATTCCCTTCTATGCCTCTTCTAGGCCCCTCTTGTATGCCACCTGTTGGATTTTAATATCTCTTTCTTTGTTAATTTCGATCTCGAAAGGGTAATTAGAGAAATAGCTTAATTGTAGAGGGGTAAATCCTGTATTTTTGCTCCAAAATTGTATTTTTAAGCTTCATAACGTTTGTTTTTTTTATTATTTAAAGTTAAAACCCTTTAAATCGACTTTATTCAATGAATTTTTATGTGCTTTTACGTATATTATGGCATCTAGAGTTGGTTAAAGTATAGCTAAAGCCTGCACAAGCTGCCATGTTTGTTATGAAGACTGTAAACAAATCGGTAAAGCTTTAATTTTTCTAGAGAAAATCCTAGATAAATGTGGTTTATCTTTAATTTTTACGTGTCCAGAAAGGTTACAACTCATTTCCTCTGCTTGAAAACCTGTATAAATCATTAAAAAATTCCCCTTAAAACGACCAACTTTAAACCTGCAAGTAGGACTCCATGATAAATTTCGTCGAAAAAGCATCAATTTCGGATGATTTAGGTGCGATTTAAAAGAAGAAAAATAAATAAGAACGTTGCAAAAACATCCCAAACAGGATCCGAACAATCGACAACACGCGTATCCCCTAAAGAAAAAAAAAAAAGAAAAAGCGTGAAACCCAAAATTGTAAACACTCTCTTCCCCCTTCTTTGATTCCCCCGTTTCATTAGCTTCAATTTTCGAGAATTGGACAGACATGCGGATGGATCGACGAACAAGAATGGATTTATAATCTCTTCAAGAAAATTAGAGGGGGTTAAGTAGAACGCACACAAGACCATTGCTATCAATACGTAAGGGCTTCGGGTGAAACGTGCCAGAAACCGCCAAGTAAGTGCCAAAATAGAGCGATTATAAGAAAAAAATGAAGGGGGGTCATAAGAGGAAATTACAGAATTTTAGAAGGGCTGTCAATAAATCTCCAACATTCCTGCATGGGAAAAGAAACTGGACACAATGACAGATGCACAGAGGAAGGTCAAACTGGCCAAGTATCGCCCCGAGCGGAGTCATTGGCGGTTCTTCTGATCTCTTCCTACCCCTCTGTAGATATCATGCTATTGAAGATTCTACACGTGGGAGTTAACTGTGCCACAGCTGGGAGGTAGGAGAAACCCTAACTGGGTCTGTATGAAGTACTACCTTGTGTCTTCGGAAGGTAAAAACATTTTTGGAAACGCCTGTTATCCCTGTGTCTAGAATCCGAATCCACGTGTTTATTGCTAGTTAGATCCGAAATTGTGGGTCTAACTGGTGTTAACGACCCTCGAATTAACGAATATGATGTCTAATTTACTCAAGTTCGTGCACGAGGGTTGGATTTAAACTTGTTAACGTGCACGTTCCTCCCCAACAAATGATGGTATATGTAAAAATCTGAAGCCCTAAGCTATAGACTGGTAAGGCTGTATCCATAATTGCCCTAAAAACCCTCAAATTAACTAATATAGGGTCTAGTTTACTCGTGCGCAAGTGAGGTTAGATTTAGACTTGTTAACATGCACCTTCCTCCCCACCAAGTAATAGTATATGTAAAAGTTGAGGCCTAAGATACAGTCTCGTAACGCGAGGCCCTAAGCATGTCCCTTCAAAAAATTAACTAATATGGGGTCTATTTTACTCATTAGGTAAATGCATAATGAGAATTGAATCTAGACTCGTTAACACCCACCTTCCTCGCTGCCAAATAAAACTATACGTAAAAAATATGAGGCCTTAAACAGTACACTGATAAATCGAGGCCCTAATCCACAGCTTACCTGAAAATCCGGTCCAGCTCACAGCAGATAAATTTAACAACTAAAACCCGCAAACAAGGCAAAAATAATTTAATTTCCATGCAGTTTATACCCCCAACCTTTTAAAAACCCACTAAATAAGGTCTCACCCCACTAATTTCAAGCCATTTTAGCCCATTAAGGTTACAAGTTTTCTCGACACGTGAGCAGGTATACAAGACATTATCATATAAACTCACTTCCGCGGCAGGGGGTATAAATCACCCTAGTATAGGCCAATTGAATTGGAGGGTGAAGAAGAACGAGGAGAAGAACACAAGAAGAACACTAGAAGAACACGAGGAAGAATAAATAAAAAAAAAGGGGTACAAATGCTAATTCGCCCATTAGCAAGAAGAAGAATTTCACGGTTAATTTCGCAATTTTTCCATTAATGGGGGCAGATCATCTGATACATCTTCTCCAATAAAAACCAAACAGGTAAGAGTGAGAGGTGAAGGTGGAGTGTCCCTAACAATCCTTAAACCACGAACCAATCAGGGGAGTAGCCTCGGACGTCAGTCCAACCCCCCTGCAACTCTACGACAAGATGATGTTGTCTGGCACGAGGAGCGTACAGGAATCGTGTTTTTAAGTGGCATGCGCGCCCGGCAACACTTCACTACCCTTGTGTGTGTGACAATCCTGACATTTAGTGTTTAGTTGGGCATCCGAGTGGCCCACGGCCGCTTCGTACTGCTCTTAAGCAGAAGGCATGGCTGTATCAAGTCCTTTAAACATTAGGCCTTTGTTTACTGGTTACCCTTTCCAAGGTGAGTATCATTTGTTTCTACGACCTTTATTCTTGTTTTTAAGGCCCTCATCTTACTTGATCTTCGTGAATTTCGATTCGTGGTTGCTTTCCGGATCCGGAACTCTTTCCGAATTAATGCGGAATTTGCTCCTAGTTTTCGCGAAATTTACATCTCTACACGCGCTTTTTCTTTCTCCCATCCTTTTCCTTGCATTTAAATTAGAATTAAATCTTTTAATTTTTATAAATCCTGATTAAGGATAGTTTCTAGTTTAATTGATTTTTAAAATTGTTTAACTTTAATTACAATTTAGTGCAGAAAATTCGTCTAATTTTCATTGATGTACAAGCTTTACGCTCATTTTTCTGCGTTTAATTGCAATTAAATTTTAATAATAATTTTGCTAAATTCTAAGCCGTAAGACCTAATTTAATTTTCTTCTAAAATTAATTGCATTTAAGCGCAGAAAATGCGTTTAATTTTCACGAAATTTTCGCTAAACTTCAAATGTGTTATATCGCATTTTATAACGCTATTTTAAATAATTAAATGCGTTTAAAAGCACAAAACCTTTTTTAATTTAAAAAATTTAGGCCTTAATTTAATTAAAAAACCAAAAATTTATTTAATTCCTACCTCTAAATCTTCAAAATTTAGTGCCGAAATTCGAAAATATGTGGCTGCTGTAGGTGTTAACTTTAGGTAATTTTTTTCATTATGAACATACGAATCATTGACCTAAAAGTAAACTCCACTAAATTTTAATGCAAAGCTCATCAGTTTAGAAGGATTTAAACTGTTTAAATCTTAATTAAACCTTAAAAATATATAATTTTAATTAAATTTTAAAATGTTTTCTTAATTAATAAACATTTAAATTTTGAAAATTTAATTAAAATTTAATTAAAATAAATAAAATTCAAATTTAAATTAATTTTATTCCACTTCAGAAATGCACTTTAGGGGCGAGTTCTGATCATCCTTAAAGATGTTCATTACGTATAATTTTAAGGATTATTAGGATTCTTCACTCTAAAATCCCAGAATATGATTTTCAGTGCAGGATATTACATATTAAAAGCTAGGGATAGAATATTCAGTGCAGGATCCTATCCTTCATTCTAAAATCCTGGAGTAGGTTAGTCAATGCAGGACTCATTACTCTAAAATCCTGGAAGAGGATCCTTTGAATTATTTATTCTAAACGCCTGGAGTATGCTGCTGATTACAGAATTCTTTATTTTAAAATCTTGGAATTTGTTTTACTCAGGATTCTTCGTTCAGAAATCATGGGGGTAGGCTACTCAGTAAAGGGTGATCCTGGAGTAGTTAATCAGTGTAGGATTTGTCATCTTAAAAATTCTAGAAGAGGATATTTAGGATTCCTTATTCTAATCGCCTAGAGTACTCAATTTACCACATGACTATTTAAAATCCTTGAGTAAGTAACTCAGGATCCTAAATTTTAAAATCCTCTAATGATCTATTCGGGATTCATTGTAAAATCCTGGAGTAAGGTATTCCAGGATCCTTAGTTCTAAACTCCCGGAGTTACTGTTCAGTATACTATACTGGGCAACTCAGTATACTATACTGAGTATTGTACTGTTACTTATTGAGTACTCTGTTACTGAGCAGTAATAATATACTGAGTATACTACTCAGTATAGTATTATTTACTTTAAATTCCTAAAGTTACTCAGTATTCTCCGTTTTAAAATCCTTCGAATTTTTAAAAATTTTAATATAAAAAATCCTTTTTCCTTAAATTAAATTTCTAGGATTCTTTGTTCTCAAATCGCACATGAGACTAGAATTTGCTACTTTAAAAATATAGCGAGCTAAATGAGTGAAATTTATTTAAAATTCCTTATTTTTTATAGGAAAATAAAGAAAATTTTAGAATTTAATTTAATTTAATTATCTAGGATTCTTTATTATTAAGGATGAACGTAGACAGTAATTATTGGTTTGAGTTTAGCATCGATTTTCAATAATATAACCTCGAGTAATGTCAGGATTCTTCGTTCTTAACGTTATGGAATAAGCTAGGACTTTTTATTATGAAATCCTGATAGAAGCTAGGATTTTGTACGCCAAAATCCTGAGACAGATCCTTCCTAGAGGTGATTAGGATTTTTTACTCTAAAATCCTGCGATTTAGGTTAGGATTTTGTTTTAAAATTTTGGAAATGATTAGGATTTACGGGTAAAAAATAAGATAACCAGGATTCTCTATTTTAAAATCCTAGGATAAACTAGAATCCTTTAGTCTGATTTCATGGGATAGACTAAAAAATTCGTATGTCAAAATCCTTGAGACAGGAATCTTCCTCCGAAATCCTGAAGATAGTCAATATTCTTTAGTATAAAACCATATGAAAAATTTTAAATTATTATTATTTTTAATATTTAGGATTCTATATAGAAATTCTGGTTAGAATTTAGGAGTAAGATATAATCTGGGCTAGGATTCTCTACTATAAAATCTTGGAGATTGGTATAAAACTATGAAAAAGGCTGATTATATGGTTCATAATATTGAAAACGTGTAGAATTCTGGAGTAAAGAATAAGGTACTCTAAAATTCTAGGATAGACTAGGATTTTCTACTGTAAAAGTCCTGGGATAGGCCAAGATTCTATAGTTCAAAGCCATGAAGATGCTATACTATAAAATACTTAAATTATTTAAGAATATTCAAGACTCTCAGCACTTGACTATAGATGCAATGAGGATCATGGCTTTAGAGGAAGAGGAAAAATTCTTCATCCAAAGCCAAGATACTCGAATTAAACCTTAAAATATAATTAAAATACTTAAATATTCGTAAGGATAGGTGTAAAAAATGAGTTAAAACATGAAGATAAGGCAAAATCGTTATATTTTAGGAGAACCGCGCTTAACTCATAGATGCAAAAAGGATATTTTTTTTCTCTTCCTCCGAAGACAAGATACACGAATTAAACCTTTAAATATTTAAATATTCGTAGGGATTTGTGTTAAAAATGAGATAAAAAATTAAGATAGGGAAAGAACCTTATAGTTTAGATAGGAGAATCGATGTTGTAACGCCTGAAGCATTATCAGATTTCTGAATTTCAACTTTTGCAATGAAGATCCTTTCAGGTGTAAAGGACATCCTGAGTAAATTCTCTGAGTAATTATGTATTACACTGCAGGTGGCATTGCCTTAATTTCGGTAATTAATCAAAATTATCGGTAATTATGTCTTGTAGATAAATAATAGGCGGGTAATTATCAACCAATGTATGTCCACGTAACTCCTTTCCGAATAATTTATTCTGTCGTCGATGCCGAATTTCACCATTGATACGTAATATTATGTAAGGATATATATCCTACCTTAATTGTAATTATACATATAGGGCCTTAATTTCATTAATTTAAACGTGTTTATATCATCTTCAGTGTAATTTAGATTGAGCGCTTGTGTATACAACTTTTCGATTTTTTTTACCGCTTTTTTTTGTGAGGTTGAGGCCCTATTTAGGGCCTCTTCTAAATGTGTTTTAATGGAAAATACGCTTAGATTTTTAAATTAACGTATTGCTCTGCATTTACTTGCTTACAGGGCCTTTCAGATGGGCACAGGCCCGAGCCAGTTACCCTGTTTTGTGATCCCCGTGTCGAATAAACCCCCTGTGAGAGGGGTATGATGCTTATTCGTATGCTTTAGATAATATCTGTAAGGCCTATGAAAGGCCTTCATAAAGTTTTGTGTTTTGCTAAAGTCTTTGGTATCATAAAAACAGCCAAGATTTTACTCTTATTAAGGATTTTTTATTCTAAAACTAAGCCTAGAATTTAATTTAGCCTTAAATTTAAGGCTTGAGGCTAAAATCTTTCTTAATAACCTGTAAATAAAGGACAATTATATCCTAAACTTATTGCATAATATACAGTTTAGTTACCTTGTAATGCTATAATAATCATAATATTATTAATTCTGTGATAATTAACTCCTAAATTCTCTCAAAATAAACTTATTTACATAAAAATTATATTAAAAATGAAATATTTAATAAATTTTCCTATTTTAATTTATTTAAATTCCTCTACAGATTAAATTTCAATCAGTTGATCACAATATAAACATCTTATCTGCCTTGTAATACCATAAAATTCAATTACAATTTTATTGATTTAGCTTCTAAATTATCTAATTAATGTTCTAAAAGATATTTTTATATAAAATTATGTAAAAAATTAAATATTTAATTAATTTTCTCGATGATAATTTAGCTCATTCTCTTACAGAAATTCATTACTTGAGTTAACTTTATGCTTAAAAATTCAATAAAATAACTCATTAGATAGGCCTGCCATATTTAAATCTTTCAAATTCCTATAAATTTTATATTATATAGATTTATTTAAAAAAAAAAAATAGCTTATAAATTCTATAGGCCTGCTTGAAAAAGTGATATAATAGAATTTAATGAAACTGGAGATAGCCATAGCATGTAATTAGTTAATTTTTATATAATTAAATTCTACTGATTTAGAAAATTGATAGTCATTAAGATAATTAAACTTAGAGTTTAGATAAGATTAATTAGACTCATATATATATAGGCTTCTATACATTGCTCGCTTCAATAATTTAATTCATTCAGCCTAATGTACACAACAACAACAAAAAAATGGTATTGATGAATTGCTTAATGCCAACAATTAATTTAAAGTGGTTTTTTAAAAGTATTTAAATAATGTAAATAAATTATTATACTAATTATAAATATTAATATGTTGATAGAATTTAAAATTAGGCCTATCATTTAAATCTATCAACTTGTATATAAAGAATGAATGGTTAAAGTGGCATCAATTTCTCATTGTACAGTGTTTTAAGGACATTGCTAGGATCTGTAGTACACTACAGATCCTAGTTTATGTAGATCCTATACAGTTTATGTAATTTTATTATAAATTTATGAAGGCCTTTGCTATAAATTCAGCCTTTAAGCTTGTATTAAACTTATACTAAAGTTTAC